GCAAAAAATGTAAAAAAAAAAAAAAAAAAAGAGAGAGAGATTTTGGTTTAGCTGATATTTCTGGCACAGTTTTAAATATATGAAAATAACACATTTTCAAACATTCAGGAAATAAACGAACATTTTATGAATATATTAGCTGCATATTAAGAAAAATGCACTTGCTGTAATTACCTCAGAGCATCTTTGTTTTGAGACATGATGACTATATGAGAGAGCTGAATACTGTAAATGAAATAAACATTCAATTACTCACCATCTTCATCAGACCTGTGGTTCTTTTTTGACGTTCGTGACTTGTTGTTCAGTACTTTTGCTGGTTTGTCAAGTTGTACACCCTGTGCTACTTGAAGAACAGGTGTTATTGACCAATGTTAAACCACAAAAAAATTACAAACAAAAGTGAGAGTGGGTATATTTAAACATAACTTCCCCTTGCAAACAAAGTTGTTCTGAATATTTTTCCTTGTAATTCTGCAAAGTGAATATATTACCAAACTACTACCTATCAGCATTGTTATCTTACATTTTTATGATGGATGAATTATATGTTATTAGAACAATATTGTCACTGAAACACCCAGGGGCGGATTTAGTGATTTGGGGGCCCCAGGCAAAATACAGGAATGGGGCCCTATACAATTTCACACATTTACAACCTTGAGGTTCCTTTCACTGTTGCGTCTAATCTTTTAGATTTTTCATGTACATGTTATAAATAAAGGATTTCTTTAATGTTGTAAATCCCTTGTTCACATTTAAACAGGTTATAATAGTATTAGAGTAGGTTGGACACTAGGTGGTGCGTTGAGGTAATTTTCACTATGCAATTGTCTACACAACGCAAGGCTGTCTTATTCTAATTACGCGTTACACAGTAAATTCCGTTTTTATGAATAGATTCCGGGATTCCGTCCCCATTTTCTACATCGCCCTACTTTTGCTAAGAAGCACGTTCAGTGCGGACGCACGGACGGTTGTCGTGGTAATGAACACCACAGCAACCACTTGTGCGTCCGCACTGAACGTGCATCTCGCATATAAAAAGCATTTTAGGGGGCCCTTGGCTTTTGGGGGCCCTTGGCTTTTGGGGGCCCTTGGCTTTTGGGGGCCCTTGGCTTTTGGGGGCCCTTGGCTTTTGGGGGCCCTTGGCTTTTGGGGGCCCTTGGCTTTTGGGGGCCCTTGGCTTTTGGGGGCCCTTGGCTTTTGGGGGCCCTTGGCTTTTGGGGGCCCAAGGCGGTCGCCTACCTTTGCCTAATGGTTAAGTCCGCCTTCAAACACCACCATAAAGAGGAACAACATTACTTTCATCCTTTATCTCAAGGGACAAGTTTCTGCACTAGAGATTAAGCAAAACAATGTCAGGGGTTTGCTCAAGTTCTGCTATGATTTCCTAATAAATGAAAGCAAAACCAGAAAAAGTGAAGCACTTCAATTTTGAAATGATTAAAAATATTCTCTCTGTCCAACAAAACAGTTGCTTCTTCAGCACAAAAATAGAGGACGAAAATTTTGAGAAAAGAAAGAGGAAGAATATTTCAAAAAAATTTAATTCACATGCTATTTATAAATTAATTACTGTAATAAAATGACTCACTAAGAAAAGAAACACAGCACGAGATCACAGTTTTCAAGCTGAAATATTTAATGAAGATGATTCAAATAAAATGCATTACAATTATTATTTAAAGTCAACATGAAATTAAAATGGACCTACTTACTTTCTTAAATTACGTTCCTGGTCTTACTGTGAACAATTCTTAAGTGCAGGTTATTCTAAATAAATAATAAAAAGTAAAAAAAATTAACAATATTTCAGCAAAATGTGGTAACTTACTCCACCTCAAAAACGATTTATCAACCACTCTCTCCAGCAAATCATGTATAAAATACTGTTCTACACTTTTCTTGAAGACATTACACTGGGAAATACATCAGATGAAAGTAGTTAAAATGGATTGAGAATGATGCTTCATGTTGAATTTAAATTAAGCAAATGTATGCATTAGCCAGTCAAATAAGAACAGCAAATGAAACGGTGCAAGTTGAGAACAGAATTACAGTTTACAGATCATATAGTGTCTTAAACTTATCTTATTTTAGAATGTGAAGCTCTTCTGGTATGAAGACTAAAATAAACACATGGAACAAAACGGATGCGTCTATCAGGTGCTGTGATATATATATTGTCTTTTAAAAATTCTATGTATTGTATAATACTTCCTTTTCACTTTACATATTACACAAAATATACACAAGCACTGTTATCACAGTGGATCGCAATGGCCGGATTATCTCGATCTTCATGACAAACGTACAGTATGCGTGATATCATATGGCTTTACTATGGCTAAATAAAAGCAGTGATTTTCGACATATGGCCATTGCTGCAACCAAATAACAGCCTACCGAATGCAAATGTAGTTTTGCTTTGGTCATCAAAATAACTTTCCAAAGCCTCCACGCAAAGTAAATAAAGTGACTTCCCGAATCGCTCCAACTAGCGCTTCGAAATGTCCTTTTGCTGCTTAACCAAAAATCCTCAGAGCATAAAAGCCCCGCACATGCAGTCTTAAGAGAATGTGGCTAAAAGAGACATATTAAGTGACCAGTGCAAGAATTTCTCAGCGCAATGCACAGTTCTTATGCCTGGATTGTGTGTCGTCCAAAGGAATCCTTGTTCCAATGCTTGTTGTCTTAAACTTGTTTTCTGTGCTGACTTCTGTAACGTCAAACCATCTGTCATTCGCTTCCATTTCAGAAGATTAAAGTCAACAAGAAATCAAAATTTGATCCCATTTACTTTTTTTAATGCACATTTGTGTCATTCCAACTCCTTCCCTCCAACCATTCTGGCACAAAATGCCTACTTTTCACAATCAAGTTCTGGCGGATACAATATGTCACATTACGGAAGCCAAATGGGTTTTGAGTTTCATGTTGACTTTGGGAATGACAGCGTTGTAATCAGCTCTTTCAAGGGTTGATTGGGTGATTACGACCAGTTTCCATAAAAAGTGTCAATGCTCCCTGAGCCAATAGTTGTCTTATTAAGATTCCTTTTCTGCCTCCCTGAGGCAACCAGAGCGGGGGTCATTTGAAGCCAAGTGCAAGAATAAACAGGGAAGCATTCAAGACCTCCGATCACCTCTGGTTTGGCACATAGGAAACTGTGCTATGGATGAATATGGACATATCGTGAGAGAAGACGATGATTCTTCCGTTCTGCAGCGTGCTACACTGGGGGAGGAAAAAGAGAGGGATAAATTAGTCGGCCAGTATTCTGTCTCGTAATTTCATGAAATCCCCTCAAAGTTCCTGCTCATCCTGATTCGGCATGATAAGGTAATGACTGAAATGAATGACGTCAATGATAAGCTTGGGCAGGATACTTCGGAAACATTCTACACAAGGCTTAATGTTCCAAATCAGGAAATTCTAATTGCATCCTAAAACTTAAAATCTGCAAAATAGTAATTCCTGATTTGAAGGTGAAGTGGTCCATTTCTGCGCCACTAATGGTACTGTATAGAAATGCAATCTGACTTTTTTTTTTTTTTTTTGCAGAATTACAGCACACACTGACTCTAAAGCATGAATATTTTCACTTTTAATCAATAATAAACATTATAATTGGTTGGCATAAGTATTCACCCCCTTTCAATATAACGTCAGAATTCATCACTGGTGCAACCTTTTTATTGTACGTCACATAACTAGTTAAATAGCTTTTGTGTACTCAAGGACTTTTCATTGATTGTAGCATAAATGAGTCAGCACTGTGGAAGACCATGCAGAAAAAAAAACACGCAGCTCTATGAAACAGTAATTGAAAAGCACCAGGCAGGGATTTCCATGTCATTGAGCTTCCCTTGGAGTAGCAGTTAAATCAATAATTAAGAAATGGGAAAATATGACACAGCAGTAAATGCACCAAGAGCAGGGCGTCCTCAAACGGTCTGTCATCGTGCAAGGAGGAGACGGATGAGGGAGGACACCAAGAGACCAATGTTACAAGCTCCAGACTGTACAAATAACAACTGCTGCTGCCGCTGAAGAGAAGCTACTGTTAAAAAACGTCATGCAATATCTCGGATACAGATATGCCAGAAGACTAACCTATCAGACTAAACAACATTTTAATGTATACTCAGAAATACACCATCTCCACAGTGAATCATGCTGTGAGGATCATTTGAAGGTTTTGAGGCTGGAAGGCCAAATGAATGCAGCAAAATATAGGAGTCAGCAAGACACCTGGAACTGAAGGAGAATCAGATTTCCAGCAAAACAACAACATTTATGTCCTTTAGTGGTCAAGAGTTTAGGGGCCAGTTGCACCATCTGGGTGCAAGTAACAACTTACCCTAGTTTTGACAAAGGAGTACTAAGTTACAACTTACTGTATGCACTACTAAATGTTTTTCCATTGCACCTTTTAATTTAGTTGAAACAACTATTCATAAACAATAGTTACGGAAGCCTCCAACCAGGAGTAACGGTCGCTCTTGAATACGGAAAAGCTCTTGTTTTACCTGACAAACTTCAATTCTTTAGACATACAGTATATGATAACATTGACATTTAGACATTGACATTTAGACATGTTTACATTTCAAGAGAGAAAACATTATTTGAATAAATCTCTTTTTAATGGCTCTTCATCACAAACCTGATATAAAAAAAATTGTAATTTGTGCTGTTTTTGTATAAGTGTTTATTTATTGATTCTTATTCATTTCAAATACAGTTTCATGATTAAGTAGTATTATATTTCAGCGGAAATTTATTTTTACCATTAGTTACGCAGAAGTTAGAATTAAGGATAAACTGAAACTTACAGCATTACAACAACAACTTCTCACTAATATGAAAGGCCACTATTGGATCACTGAGAATCATATTATGTGACTATGCATTACTTTAAGGAGAGCTGACCACCTACTAGCTATGCTCTGTCTCTATAAAAAATAATGGTGCAAACGAAGTACAGACTTCGCCTAAGACTTAGCCTCTAATGTGGAATATACATTTCAATTTAAAAAAAGAACCTAAAAGAGCTGGTGCAACTTGACCTAGACCTGACCCCAGAGAATTAACGTTGCATAGCCTTAATGTAACCTGACTGAGCCTAAGCATTTCTGCGAAGATGATTGGCAGGAAAAAACATCTTCATGCAGATTTGAAGTTAAACTATGAACTAAACTGTAACAGACTCAAGGTGAAACTACTAAATCCTGACACTTACTGGGTGGGGGTGAATACTTGCGCAAATAATTGATTAAAGGGGTCCTATTATGCTCTTTTACAAAGTCTTGATTTTGTTTTGGAGGTGTACTAGAACAGGCTCTCATACTAGGTTGTTCGAAAAACACATTATTTTTCACATATTTTACATTACAACACCATGAACGGCTCGAATAGTTCCTGTAGCAAATGAAGGCCCGCCTTCTGATCATGCCCCTTACCACAGGCGCCTGCGAGCTTCAGTGTAAATTTTGCGTCAATATCAAATCAATTTGAGCGCGATTTAAACCCGGATGATTGTAACCACTCTAAGTTCGTCTGCCTTGGGAAAGCTAGTGTGTCTCCGACATAGTGATAACACTCGTTGCCTTCTCTAGTGCAGCTCAACCAGGTCTCATTCCATTCGTCGATATTTGTGAAATCACAAATCCCGGAAAATATGCGCTGTAGTCCAAACGAGTCATTTGTTGTAGTTTTTGAAAATTGATTTCTGTTAAATAAAATATCTCCTTTTGAAGTGGACTTTGAACTTTGTAACTTTGCAGATCTTTTTTTATGCTCAAACAGCAACGTTACAGACTAACTAAAGTTGAAAAAGTGAAAAAGCATAATAGGACCCCTTTAATAACTGTAATGCATATTTCCATAGAAACAGGTTTCACTTTGATATCAAAGGATATTGTTTTAGTTGATCAAAGCCAAATAAATCCCTAATTCCATGTTGTAGAAAAATAAATAGCCAAGGGGTGTGAATACTTTTTTACAAGCACTGTATCATCAGCTTACAGCTTGAAAGCCTAGTTTTAAGGTAGTTTCCCCAACACTATGTGGGACAATTAGTCAAATTAGGTTAGCTTCAGTTTGAATCAAGACGAGGGCTACAAAAATCCATAACTTGCTCACCAGCTCCAACTAAATGTTAAATGATTCAGCTGCTGACCAACAATGTGAGTCTCTAACTCCACATGGTCAAGCTTTACAGTTTCTACATAGCAAAAATGAACAGATAGATAACTGTATCATTAGGTTAGTTAAATATCACATTTGACAAGTTAAAGTTTCAAGCTTGCAGTACCTGTAGTTTCTCTGATCTTAGGCAACCTTTGGCATCCCTCTCGGCCTGACTCTTGGCCAGCCTGTCCATGGTGCTTCCGCAAAAACGTTCCATCTACGTTCTGATTTGGATATCCGAGACCTTTCAGAGAGGACTCTCCATGCAGATGGACACTATCTACCGTGCACAGAGGAGAGTCCATTGGCGTCACGCAGCTACTGCTTCCCGTACTGCAGCCGGCATCGATGGACGAACACTGGGAACTCTGGAGGGAATGGATTCCCTCGCTCTGTAAAGACGACATCCTTTTGGACAAGTGGTACTCGTATAACCGTGTCATTTCTTGTTCGGATGAAGCTGCCTTGCTCTGTTGATGTTCATTCCGGGCTCGTTCAATCATAAATTGTTCTTTGGCGGGTGAACTTGTGTTCAAGTCTATCGAGTCCTTCAAACTGACTTTTTGCGTTACCCTGTCTGCATGCAACGGACCACCATCGCCAACCACCTCAGAGTAAATGTGCTCTTCAGATTTATTATTCAGAATCATATGCAATCTTTGATTGCTTTCTTGAAACGCATAAGACATCCTCTCCAAGTCAAAGGGACCTGAACGCTGGGAATCTCGTCCATTGAAATTGTTGTACATCCCAACAAGATCCTCTGATTCCGTGATGTTCATCTGACGGGCTTCCACTTGGGCGCTTGATTTCATCCCACCATCTTGCTCCTCGATCTTCCCCTGCGGCATTCCCATCATCATGTCCCTGTGCATTTTGTTGAAGTAGTCCGTCAACGACTTGGTTTCCATTGTTTCTGGCTCCATCTCGAAGTGGTCCGAACAGAGATTGACAACCGCGGCGGACTGGGAGTCGTCTAGAGACGCCCGGACCTCACACGGCACCAATCGAAACTCAGTCTCCTCTTCGGCTAGAGTTTGGTACCCTTCGGCTGTGGCTACTAACATTTTCAGAGAGTTTTCGGAGAGTTTCTGAGCTGCGGCCAGCTCTGAGCTCTCCGTCATTTCGGACGAATTTGTCTCATTCCCAGAATCAGAAGAGGACTCGGGGCTAAAGGACCGAGATATTTCTACACCTGTGTGTCACAAAGAGACAAACATTTTAGCCATCACACCATACACACGTATACTTTAAAATAGTTTATTTGTACAAAACGTTGAAGGTTATGAAATGAAACAAATAAGAACATAAATAATGAAATACATGAACAAAAATGAACCACAAATCATAATGAGATCACAATTACATTTCTAATAAAACAAATGCACACACAATACATGGGGTTTGCATTGAAGACAATGGAATACGGAGAAGCAAAACCAAAATAAAGGAATGGCTGGAAGGTCAACGTCAATGGATAAACGTTACAATAGTGTAAGAACCTGAACTATTGTCCGATTGTGGATGAGACTGTTCCTCAGAGGCCGCCAAGGCCTCCAGAGCTTGTAGTGTGGAGACAACAGCGTCATTGAACACTTCCTCGGTCCCACCGGCCACTTGCGTTGGAACCGAATCGATCAGCGACACAGGGATGTCATTTTTTAAGCCTTTTCGCTCTTGGTGGTCGTCTTCATCCGAACTATCCCTGAACCCTGCCGGCGGAGCGGCTATCGCCAAGTTTAGAGACTGCAACAGGTCATCGCTGTCCTCCTCGTCATCGCCCTCTGGTGGCGGCGGAAGCGAAGTGAGGTCTATAATGTCGTCGCTAGATTCCGAGAGCGATAGGAGAGAGTTCGCCTTGTCCTTCATCTCCCCCATCATCATCATCATGTCCTCCTCAAAACTAATGTCATCGTCGTCCTCGGCGTCATCCGTAGTCTCGGCGTAGCAGATATCATGCAGCAAAGGCTCCTCGATGCCTTCCGTTGTACCGAAGATCTTAGCGTCGCCGTAGACCATGTGGGAACTGTACTGGAAGCCGTCGACCTCTAGTGATGCTTCCAGAGGCTTGTAGTCCTTCTGTTGCGCGTACATGTACCGGTGCTCCTCCAGCACTTCTGGGATGTCCTCCATCAGTCTTTGGTATCCCAAGTTCTGAGGGTTCACAGAGTCCAGCGGAGGATTGCTGAATATAAAGGACACCTTGGCGCTTCTGGGCGACTCTTGAGGTTTGCCTTTTGGGACACTGAAGTAGGGCTGAAAATGCATGTGGCTTGCTCTGCTCGCCCGCTCAGCTTTCTCGTCCCCATGCATGCGATGCTGCAACTGGTGCATTGCGGAGACAGTGGGGGAAATATCAAACTCTCTTCGCCCACAGTTGGCGTATTCGGGGTGGGGCTCGTCACATGCACTGCAGGAACCGTAATTCCAGTCGATTGCTTGGTAGTTGTGCTTGACCCTTGAGTCTTGTCCTTAGGTATAAACAAAAAAAAAGGAGAAGACACCAATGTTAACATGTTATTAAAGTATCAGATTCACAACAAAACTATTTAAATAAGGGGATTCTTAAACTTTTTGATTCAAATGACTCCCATGGTCCAATGTAATATTCCAAATATTGGCCAAAAATATTCCATTATATTGGCCAAAATATATCTGTCTGTAATTATGACAAAGCTGGTTGTTTTCAAACTTTATCAACACTTCCGGTTTTTGTTAATAAAGTATATTAATCATATACATTAATCAATTAGTTCATGTGCATGCTCTTACCTGCAGTGTTACTGCTGTTCGCCATGTTGAAGATGGACCTCCGTGAATCGACCAGCAGCCTGTAATAACCAGCAGTCAAACACGCCAGGTTCATAGCGTCGCTGGATTCCATTATAAGTGTGATGGGCTAAAGAAAAATAAATATTTTGCAGAAGAAATGCATAAATAATCAGTAAATACAGCAGTAAGCTATGGGAGGTTGTGCAGTTTAAATGATTTTAGTGATCCTAAAACTCCCTTAGTGGTGGTAAAATTACAGTAACAAATGTTCTTGAGCAACTTACTGCTCTTTTTAAAAAATTGTTTTATTGTTTTTCAATAAATAGTTACATTCATTAATATTAACAGTTTTTAGTTTTTAAGTTCACGCTTGCAATGTAGCAAACAATGTACTGCATGTATTGACTTATATTTTATAAAATGAAGCATGCATATGTCAGTAACTATGAATTATTAATTCATATTTTCTTTATAAGCACTGGATGAAAGGGATGTTGAACTATGTGTTATATACAACTGGTGTAATGCATGTGTTAAACAGTCAGTAAATAGTATTCATCAATAATTTATTAATAATCAAAATAATCTGCTAGGCAATACAGTTCATTATCGGTTTTACCAAATGAAACGTGCAAATGTCAGTAACTATCAATTATTAATTCATGTTTTCATATTAAGCATTGGATAAAAAGGATATTGAATTGTTCTTTATATTGTATACAATTGGTGAAACGCATGTGGTAAATAGTCAATACATAGTTTTAATTTATCAATAATTTGTATTTTCAATACGCATTTATTGACTTAACTATCTGTTTTATAAAATGAAGCATATGAATTATTAATTCCCATTTTCACAATAAGCATTAAGTAAAAGGCATGTTGAACTGTTATGTGTCTTTAATATTGTATACAACTGGTGTAATGCATGTGGTAAATAGTCAATAAATGGTACTAAATTATCAATGATTTATTAATATTAATAATCAAAATAACCTGTCATGTAATGCAGTTTTTAGTCCATGTTTGCAAAGCAATAAAGCAAACTTAATATAGTTGTTTTATATTTTCTATTGCATTTATTAACGGGTTTATAAAATTAAGCATGTAAGTGTCTGTAACTATGAATTATTAATTCATATTTTCAATATAAGCATTGGATAAAGGGATGTTGAATTGTTATGCATCATTAACACTGTAGTAATACATGTGGTAAATAGTGAATAAATAGTTCATATAAGTCAAAATAATCTGCCATGCAATATTGTTTTAGTTCACACACGCAAAGCAATGTAGCAAACTTAACATATTGCATACTGACTTAAAGGCACAATATGTAATTTCTCCGCTAGAGGGCGCGTATTCAGGGTCTATTAAAACGCATAACATATTAAAGCGTCTTTGGTGTTTCCATGTTTTCTACAAAACAAAACTGGAAACCGAGGGTGTATGACGTCATTGGCAGGCGACACAATGACACTATGGACATGGTTCGTGTCACTAGTTAAAATTGCTTATTTCTCTGGATTTAAACATTCTTCGAAACATTTGGGATAATGTAAGTACACAAGTCAGCTAAATATATAACACTGTTCTAGTGGTTTTTGGATATTTTAATAAAAAAATCTTACATATTGTGCCTTTAACCGTTTTATAAAGTGACGCATGTAATTGTAAATATTAATTATTAATTCATGATTTCATTATCACAACTGGATGAAAGGGATGCGGAATAAAAGGGATGTCGTCCTCAATACTGTTATGCAATTCAACTGTGGTAATGCACTCAAAATGTTTGAATGTTTATCGCATTAGATGGAAAAATATTAAACCAAATGCTTTCTGCGAACAAATGATGTTTTTCTCCATCGCACCTTAACATCCAGGACATGAAGCTCCACTCGCACGTTTCTTTCGTCCTCGGTGTACATTTCGATGCGGTTGACGTGGCTGAAGTCGGCCAGCAGCGCCACCAGGTTGGTTTTAGTGTTGATGACGTGGCTGATGCCGTAGCGCGGCCCCACCAGCAGAGTCACCTCTGTGTGTTTCTCTCCTTGCTGTCAGATCACAAATACAGCGGTGTGAAACAGCTGCTTCAAACACCTTCAGATTTCAGCAGCTGAAGCTAATGTACTAAAACTATACATTTTCATTATTACTTTGTATTTTATCATAGAGGGGAGTATATGTAAATGTGAAATCTATAATGTTTGCAGTGCTCAGTAAAAAATATTTATCCTTGATCTGTCAACTTCTTTAGTAAAATATGACAAATAGCATATGAAGAGTTCAGATGCAAAAGCCTCTAAGTGTTTTAAGCCTCTAAATTTTCTTCCAAAATGAGCATTTTTTTCTCAGGCTCTCGTGTGTGGGTTCAGTTATTAAACTTTAATGGCAATTAATAGGTTCTGTTCATTGTCGTTAAAAGTGAAATAACTGAACATAAACATAGGAGCCTGAGAAAAATGCTCATTTTAGAAGAAAATTTCAGATGGCACTTAGAGGCTTTTGCATCTGAACTCTTCATTTGTATTTTTTTAACTAAATAAAATCATTAGAAATATTGTTCTCTTTACTGAACAGAAATAGCAGCAAAACTTAAAATAAATAAAAAAGATACAGAAATCTATATAGAGATCATATATAAAAAAATTATGCTAGAAAATGAAAATACAGTAGAATTGTTTTTGATTTGTTTATAATTTAATAGTTTTTAACAAGAAAATCATTATAAATCATTAGAAATAGAAATGTATCTTTACTAAACAAAATAATAGAACGGCAAAACTAAAAAAAATAAATCATGACCTCACATGCTAGAAAATGAAAATACAGTGTGAATGAATATTAATTTGTTTATAATGTTATTTAACAAAAAAAATATCATTAGAAATCAAGTTCTCTTTGCAAAACAGAACAGCATAATAAAAATGGTATGTTAGAAAATGAAAATATAGTGTGAATCTTTGATTTGTCTAGTTTTATATTTAACAAAAATAAAAATAATTAGAAATCATATTTTCATTACAAAACAGAAATAACAGCAAAACAAAAAAAAACATACTTAAGCTAGAAACTATTTTCTAAGAACGTTAAATTAAATTTAAAAATAATTTTACATTTAAAAAAAAATTTAAATAAAAACATTTAAAATAATTTTCTTTAAAAAAAAACAGAAACAGCAGCAAAACTAAAAAAAAACTAAAATAAAAAAAAATTACAGACTTCATATGCTATGAAATTGAAATGTAGTTTATCGCCGTAGTTTATTCTGAAATACACCTGAAGCTTTAAACTCTGGATCTGCATTGAAAGCCTCAGCTGCTGATGTAATGACTCTGTGAATGTGTGTCTGTGCACTTACGACCAGCGTGGACTTGAACACTTGTCCTCCGTACAGCCTGAGATCACTCAGATATTTCAGGTAGTGGACCTTCGCCTGCAACGCCGTCAGCTTCAACACAGCACAAATCCCAGCAGAATTAGGGAACAGAAAGTGTAAATCACAGAAATAGAGCACTCTTTCTTCTGCTTTTTGAATATGTGCCTCTGGGAAAAACAAGTTCAACTATAGGTTTAATTGCAAAGACAGACTGTGCTCACAAGATGCTTTATGACAATACTAAAGTGCAATGCACTATAACATAAAATATAATGCAGTACATTATATCTGATTGTTTATTACATTTTAATCATAGTTTTAATTTAATTTAATATTATATCTGCTTATATATATAATTGAGTTGTACAGGTTATAGTTTACATTAAAGGTGGAAAAAGTTCTGAAATTATTTATCTTGGTCTAATTTTTTTTACATTACAGAAATCTGGCATTTTGATCAGGGGTGTGTAGACTTTTTATATCCACTGTATATAAATATTCTATTCTATTCTATTAGTGCTGTCAAACGATTAATCGCATCCAAAATACGTTTTTGTTTGCATAATATGCGTCTACTGTGTACATTTATTATGTATATATAAATACACACACACACACATTATATATTTAGAAAATATTTACATGTATATATTTATATTCATACAATATATATAACTATAACAAGTTAGTTATAATGTGTGTATATGCATGCTATTTTTTATTATATTTATATCTGCTTATATACAGTATCATACTGAATATGCTAAAAGAATTCAATATATTTGTATTAAATTTTTTTAGAATATATATGTAATTTTTTTTAGCATATTCAGTATGATACTGTATATAAGCAGATATAAATATAATAAAAAATAGCATGCATATACACACATTATAACTAACTTGTTATAGTTGTATATATTATATGAACATAAATATATACATGTAAAAGTTTTCTAAATATATAATATATGGGTGTGTGTGTATTTATATGTACATAATAAATATACACAGTACACACATATTATTATAGTTTACATTAAAGGTGGAAAAAGTTCTGAAATTATTTATCTTGGTCTAATTTTTTTTACATTACAGAAATCTGGCATTTTGATCAGGGGTGTGTAGACTTTTTATATCCACTGTATATAAATATTCTATTCTATTCTATTAGTGCTGTCAAACGATTAATCGCATCCAAAATACGTTTTTGTTTGCATAATATGCGTCTACTGTGTACATTTATTATGTATATATAAATACACACACACACACATTATATATTTAGAAAATATTTACATGTATATATTTATATTCATACAATATATATAACTATAACAAGTTAGTTATAATGTGTGTATATGCATGCTATTTTTTATTATATTTATATCTGCTTATATACAGTATCATACTGAATATGCTAAAAAAAATTACATATATATTCTAAAAAAATTTAATACAAATATATTGAATTCTTTTAGCATATTCAGTATGATACTGTATATAAGCAGATATAAATATAATAAAAAATAGCATGCATATACACACATTATAACTAACTTGTTATAGTTGTATATATTATATGAACATAAATATATACATGTAAAAGTTTTCTAAATATATAATATATGGGTGTGTGTGTATTTATATGTACATAATAAATATACACAGTACACACATATTATGCAAACAAAAACTTATTTTGAATGCAATTAATTGCGATTAATCATTTGACAGCACGAATAGAATAGAATTGAAATGGAATATTTATATATGCTTATACAAGCGATATATATAAATAAAAATATACAATTTATATATTTAACTACAAGTCTATTTATATATGCTTGTATATGCCAAAAATGTTTAAATAAAGTGTTATATTCAACAACATACAGTATTAGTCTTTGCTGTGATAGCTCGTGACATTTCACTGGTACTGCTATTGTGAAAATCCTAAACCGTATTATACTATGCATTGAGAAATCTGGATTTTCAAAGGCAGCTGAAAAGATCGATTGTAATTCCACTTTTCATATGTACATCAAGCTGTGCAAGTTTCTTCACCTTTTTGCCAGGAGGCACCAGGTTCTGGTTGGTTTTCAGGATGTGAGTGAGCGCTTTCTTGATGTTCTTCTCTTTCATGCTGGACAGAATCGCTGGAGGCAGGAATTGCGCCAGACCCCACTCCTTTCTGTAAAGACACAAGAGCTTTCACGCTGAACTCAAGCGCTCGTCGCATCAGTCAAACGCCTTTCATCTTTTCTTCTCATTTAAAGGAAGCGCCACCAGTAACTTTTGACTCGCCCTCATGCAGATCAAACCCGAATCATTTTCTTTCTTTGGTGAAACACAAATTGAGAAGGTTAGGAAGAACTTGCCATTTTTTTTTTATTATTTGTGGACTTTACTAGCAATTTCTGAGTGAAAATTTTTTTTCTTTTTTTTTTTCAGTGTACAGCGAAGGTATTCTCCATAAAAGACCAAAAAGCACCAGAAAAAAAGTAATGCATTTTCTGTTTTAATTTTCATTTTCATTACATTTTATTAGTTTTTATAATTTTTTTTGTTTTTATTTTCTTATTTTCTGATTTTTCCTTTTTCATTTGAATTTTTGTTAAAGTTTTAGTAATTTTGTTGTGCCTTTGTCAATTTTATTTGTTTTTTTATTGTTATATAGTTTAGTATTTTTTATTTCAGTTCTAGTTATTTTAGCACAGCTGAATTAAATTAAAATAAGAAATATTCAACATTAAAATAAGAAATCTTATAAAATAAGAATCATTTTTTTTATATTTTATTCCTGTTAACACTTATTTTATTTCATTTCAAGTACAAAAACATGATTTATAATTTTAGTTTTAGTTAACTATAATAACCCTGACTATGTTCCAAGTCTACTTGTATGAAGTTATATGACAACAGACTGAAATTTTATCTTTAACCAATTTTAAGTGCTTGAGAAGTCAAATAAATTTCTGTAATGCCTGTTAATGCATATGGACTACTTTCATTTTTGTCCTTTAGAGAGTTTGACAGTCACTGCGCAGAAATAAAGCTGCATGAAGACTAAATTCATTTTTTTGTGTGTGTTCCACAGAAAAAAAACAACAAAAATCAACTCCATACAGGTTTGGAACCACATGAAGACAAGTATAAAACCAATTTTAACAGTTGTCTGTACTACTCCTTTAATTGTGAGCATAGACATGAATGTTGAGCACTCACTCGATGTATTTCAGCGAGACTTTCTGCGTTTGTTTGGTGCTGAGCGTCAGGATGTACATCTGAAGAGCAGCCAGGCGAAGCGCCGTGTCGTATTTGAGCTCAGAGCCGAAACGCTCCTGCACCACATCCTTAGAGCTCTGCATTCAGACGAGCAGAGAACCAGAATTAATACACAGTGTGCTTTAGCAGACATAACCTTTTTCTCAGACAGGACACACTGAAAGGAACAGTTCAGCCAAAAACGAAAGTCTGCTGAAGATTCATTCAACCTCAGGATGAGTTTGTTTCTTCATCAGATTTGTAGAAATGTAGCATTGCATCAGTGTCTCAGCAATGGATGCTCTGCAGTGAATGGGTGCCGTCAGAATGAGAGTCCAAACAGCTGATAAAAACATCACAATAATCCACAAGTAATCCACACCTCTCCAGTCCATCAGTTAACATCTGGAGAAGACAAATCTGAAACAAATCCAGCATTAAGACGTTTTTAACTAAAATACCAGTCCATAATCCATGATAGCGTGAATCAGGAGAGAAATCTGCACAGATCAAGCACCGTTTACAAGCCAAAACAGCTCTAAACATATATGTGGCTGGATTTTGATGAGAGAGACAACAGCAGATTATGCGTTTTCGCTGTTCTGGACTGTTTTGGCTTGTAAACGGTGCTTGATCTGTGCAGATTTCTCTCCTGATTCAGACCAGAACACTTTTTCACTGGAAGAAGCGTTATTATGGACTCATATTTTAGTTAAAAATGTCTTGATGATGGATTTGTTTCTTATAAACACGCAGCAATTTTTTTCTCTTCTCAAGATGTTAAAGGGATAGTTCACCCAAAAATGAAAATTCTGTCATTAATTACTCACCCTCATGTCGTTCCAAACCCGTAAGACCTCCGTTCATCTTCGGAACACAAATTAAGATATGTTTTGATGCATTCCGAGAGCTCTCTGACCCTCCTATAGACAGCTAGGATCCTTACACGATCAAGGCTCAGAAACGTAGCAGGAGATCGTTAAAATAATCCATGTGACATCAGTGGCTCAACCATAGTTTAACGAAGCTACGAGAATACTTTTTGTGTGCAAAGAAAACAAAAATAACGACTTTATTCAACAATTCGTTCAGATCAAAGCGTAAACAGCGTACGGTGCTGCTGACACAGAATAGCATACGCGGTTTACGTATGTGATACTCTCCAAAAGATCTTAATTTGTGTTCCGAAGATAAACGAAGGTCTTACGGGTTTGGAACGACATGAGGGTGAGTAATTAATGACAGAATTTTAATTTTGGGTGAAGTATCCTTTTAACTGATGGACTGGAGAGCTGTGGAATACTTGTGGATTATTGTGATGTTTTTATCAGCTGTTTGGACTCTCATTCTGACGGCACCCATTCACTGCAGAGCATCCATTGCTGAGACACTGATGCAATGCTACATTTCTCCAAATCTGATGAAGAAACAAACTCATCCTAATCTTGGATGACCTGAGTGTGAGGACATTTTCAGCACGTTTTCATTTTCAGGTGAACTATTCCTAGGGCTGGACAACAAACAACATTTTGCTTCACTGTTTATACTGCATTAACGCCAACTATATTGTAAACAATATATACTTTTAAAGCGATGCATCTTTCCAATTTTACATGCATATGCTGATTATTTTGTATTACACTGCATCTTCTAATTGCACAAACATTGGCTGTAGTAACTGAAGAACAAACATGTGGAATGTAAACCTGATTAAAAAACAAACTGTGAAAGAAATGCATTATAGGTTTCTGATATGTGACCCTGGACCATAAAACCAGTCTTAAGTGTCAATTTTTTTACAATTTATTTTCATGGAACATGATCTTTACTTAATATCCTAATGATTTTTGGCATAAAAGAAAAATATATTATTTTGACCCATACAATGTATTTTTGGCTATTGCTACAAATATACCCCAGCGACTTAACACTGCTTTTGTGCTCCAGGGTCACATATATCAGGCTGAACAATATGGAGAAAAGACTGAAAACTAACGTCCATAAACTGAGCTGAACGTCACAGACGTGTTACCTGAACGTAGAGGTAATCGAACGCAACAGCGTCTCTCCTGAGAAGATCCACCGGATCTTTTGGAAGGAAACTGATGCGGAAAAAGCACTTCATCTTATGTGAGCCCGGCCTTTGGGTCACCTACAAAACAAGAAATCATGATCATATTTCTCTGTACTCTGTCTATCTATTCTCTCATCATATTTAACTGCTTGTAAACAAACCTGCATTAGCATCTCCTGCTCGTGCAGAAGCATTAGCTTTGTTGCAAATCCTTCCATCTTGTGCTCCAGCGTCAGAGAGAAGTGCTCAATGCTTTTAATAGACAGCTTCTCTTGCAGGGTCAGAATAACATCCTTTCAAACAGAAGAACATCTCTGTTATTCATGTTCAACACCACCAACACGTGACATAGTGCTAACGTCATTAGAAATGTTTTAATAAATAAATAAGCACTTTATATTATATATACCGGTATATACAGCACTGGGTAGATTACTGGGAAATTGTAGTCCATTACTGATTACATGATGAAAATTGTACTGTAGTAAGTAACAATCTATTAGATTACTCATTTTAGGTAATGTATTCTGACTACATTTTAATTACTTTTAAAGTACTAATTGTTTATCACATAGATTTAAATGGGATTATTGTGTACCATATCTATTCCATTCTTTGTTTTCAACAACATGAAGTGCATTAAATATCACGTTACATCAGTGTTTCCCAGACTGGAGTACAGAAAAAAAAAAAAGAGGAATTATGGAGAATCAATAAACTATGAATAATTCACTGCTGTTGTTTGGATATGTAGTCATGTAAAGTATCCATAAAGTAACTGTAATCCGATTATAAGCATTTTAAAATGTAACAATCAAATTACAAGCAAGTCGGATTAATTCATTTTGAAATTAATATTTGCTTTCGACATAAGTGTACACATTTGTACATTTTGTATAGCCTATTTGTGTAATATCAGACTTGTCAATTATCGGTTTTCAAAAAATATATTTGGTTTACTTTTTTAAAATTAATATTGCATAAAATATGCTAACGTTTAAAGGTTTGAGCTCTGTAAGATTTTTGGGGGGCTCACCAAGGCTGCATTTATTTGATCAAAAATACAGTAAAATATTTGTGAGATATTTTTACAATTTAAAATAGCTGTTTCTATGTGAAAATCTGTTAAACTGTAATTTATTCCTGAGATCAAAGCTGTATTTTCAGCATCATTACTCCAGTCTTCAGTGTCACATGATCTTCAGAAATCATTCTAATATGCTGATTTGCTGCTCAAGAAACATTTCTGATTATTATAAAATATTTGTGAGATATTTTTACAATTTAAAATAGCTGTCTTCTATGTGAAAATCTGTTAAACTGTCATTTATTCCTGAGATCAAAGCTGTATTTTCAGCATCATTACTCCAGTCTTCAGTGTCACATGATCTTCAGAAATCATTCTAATATGCTGATTTGCTGCTCAAGAAACATTTCTGATTATTATCATATTTTGTTGAAAACAGTTGTGCTGCCCAATATTTTTGTGGAAACTGTGGTACATTTTATTTTATAATGCATCCCTGATAAATAATAGTATTAATTTCTTTAAAAAAAAAAACATTTTGCTTGCTACAATAATATTTTATTGCACCATATTTAATATATGCACAGCCGTTATTTTTTCTGATATGGTGCATCAGCAGTAATTTGTAAATATTGCAATGCTGAAATACCTTAATGGAGGTGTTGCAGTCAAACTTAAAGGACTTTGTTTGTCCGTTTTCCAGATACACCTTCAAGACGTTTGGCATGAAGAGCAGAGAATTATCCTTCACAGTCTCCTGCGGATGAAAACACTCCGTCATGTTTCTAATATCTCTGAGCTGCATGAATAACACAACTAAAGTGGCTTTTATCTGTTCGCTGATCTGTCAGTGATTCACATCCCTGTGATGATATCAGCATAAAACACGTGCGGCTGCATATTTTTAATCATTAACCTCTTGTTGTGCCACTAATTAAGACGCACAGTATGAATGAACACTGATTTATGTAACGTGCATCCTCATAATATTTCATCACAATGCAATAATTTGCTCCAGAGCTAAAATCACTTTCTGGCTGACGACATCAATCCTCTTATTCTAATCACATGACTCTATTCTGGTGCATAACGTCCACTTTTCACAATCCAATCAATCTCGGATGATTATAATCAAAACCCTACAGTGCTTCTCACTGAATATCCGGTTTGTTTCTCTCGGAGATGTCAGATTATGAAAGTAAAATGGGTTGATCTTTAAACCTAAAAAGCCTGTTAAAACGGCTGTAAATACTGTGATATAGCCCATGACATGCTTTTTAAGCAAAACGTGTCATTTTTCACTTACAGGTACTTGTCCGTTAATAATGACTTCTTCAGCAAAGCGCACTTTGACCGGATTGGATTTCAACTTGGCCTTTTTAGCTGCACTGATGAAGGCAGATTTGGGTGACTGGATGGGAATAACAGAGGAACAAAAGCAGAAAAATTACTGAATATCAATGCTATCAAGTCATTATCTTCTGCCTAAGAGCTGAGCCAGAAACTAATAAGCAGATCCAGATGGAATCCACAGCAGGGTTATTAACGTCAACTAAAACCATAAAAAATAAATTGTTTTGTTCCTTGAAATTATATAAGTGTTAAAATTTAAGGAACACTTTGAAAACACATCAGATCTCAATGGGGAAAAATATCATGCAGGACATCTATACTGATATGGACTGGGTAATGTGTAAGGAATGAAAAGATGCCACATCGTTTGATGGAAATAAAAAAAATTATCTACCTACAGAGGGCTGAATTCAAAGACACCCCGAAAATCAAAGTGAAACAAATGATTCATTGCAGCAACTCTAAATGGTACTCAGTAGTTTGTATGGCCCCCATGTGCTTGTATGCATGCCTGACAACGTCGGGGCATGCTCCTAATGAGACGACGGATGGTGTCCTGGGGTATTTCCTCACAGATCTGGACCAGGGCATCACTGAGCTCCATAAGGTGCAACCTGGCGGCATCGGATGGACCGAAACATAATGTCCCAGAGGTGTTCGATTGGATTTAGGTCAGGTGAGCGTCGGGGCCATTCAATGGTATCAACTCCTTCATCCTCCAGGAACTGCCTGCATCACATGTGCTCAAGGTGAACCTACACTCAATCTGTGTGGCGGATCTGCCAATTCTGCTGTTCAATGGCAAATGCCAATCGAGCTCCACGGGCCACTCTCATGAAGTCTGTTTCTGATTGTTTGGTCAGAGACATTCACAACAGAAGCCTGCAGGAGGTCATTTTGATATATATATGTATATATATATATATATATAAACAAATAAAAATACAAAACACACAAAACTAAACAAAAATGGTACCTTGGCAATTAGTTGAGATAAAATAAGTATTAAAATAAGTAAAACTAATAAATACAAGTGAATATAAAACCTATATAGATCAAAAAAATACAAATTGCAAAAACACAAAACTAAACAAAAGTGGTGCCTTGGCAAATAACTGAAATAAAATAAGTTTAAAAACTAAAATAATTAAAACTAATACATACAAATTAATAAAAACTATATAAACATAATATATAAACACATTTAAAACCAATGAAAGGTGACAAAAACACAACAAAACTAAAAAATGGCTACTTGGCAACTAGCTAAAATAAAATAAATTTGAGTATTAAAATAATTAAAAAATAATAAAAATGGCAAAAACAAAACTAAACGAAAATGGTGCCTTGACAGCTAGCTAAAATAAGAACTAAAATGATTGAAACTAATCAATAAAAATTAATAATAACTACAGACATTAAAAAAATAATACAAAGGACAAAACCTAAACAAAATTACTAAAACTAAGTACAATTAAAGTAAAAACATAAAATATAAAAATAAACATAAATTCAACACATCAACAAAAAATATAGTATAGTATAATATAGTATACAGTAGTATAGTATAGTATATCAATGATAATAAAATAACTAAAGTAACACTGATCTGCAGACGTTTTATTAGTGTTTTCTACATTGAGTTCTGCAGAATTTAACCTAAAATTAGCCAAAATACTGACAAACTAACATGCAAAACAGTCAATATGTAGACTTACAGGGTACGGCTGCACCACAGTCAGGATGATGGACTCCTTACAACTTCTGCCAAAAATAATGGAAAGAAAACAAAAAAACAATAAGAATATGAAATTCTCAAGATGGAATCAGGGATAGTTAGCAAAACCCTGATCTAATACAATGACAGACATCTGACTCGGGTGTTCATACTCATTTTGGGACCACAGTATAAAGAACGAAAATGATTGAAACTAATCAATAAAAATTAATAATAACTACAGACATTTAAAAAATAATACAAAGGACAAAACCTAAACAAAATTACTAAAACTAAGTAAAATTAAAGTAAAAACATAGATGATGGACTCCTTACAACTTCTGCCAAAAATAATGGAAAGAAAACAAAAAAACAATAAGAATATGAAATTCTCAAGATGGAATCAGGGATAGTTAGCAAAACCCTGATCTAATACAATGACAGACATCTGACTCGGGTGTTCATACTCATTTTGGGACCACAGTATATACAGATATTGTAGACAGAAACTGCTGATCTGTCAGCATGTAATGGCTTCAGCTGAAAAACACATGTAGTAGATGAAGAGCGACACAGTAACTGGTTGATGGAGCTCAGTACCTGACCAGGTCAATGACTCGTTCCCGTGGAGCCGAACTCACGGCCTCCTCATTTATCATCACTATCTCATCTCCTGGGATCAGCTTCCCTTCTGAAGGCCCTCCTGCACATTCATCACAAACACACATCACATTTGTGTTCATATTATATGTATTTTTTCTAAAACAACGAACATCATGCACCATGATAATGCACTTTTTATTTGGCCATTAAGTTTTCTATCATGATCCTTTCTTGTCTTTACACACTATAAATCAACAGTTTTGGGGTAAGGGTCAGTTTGTTTGTTTGTTTTTAAGACATTAATACTTTTATTCAGCAAGGATGCATTAAATTGGTCAAAAGTGACAATATTTCTGAAGGATCATGCGACACTGAAGACTGGAGTAATGATGCTAAAAATTCAGCTTGATCACAGTAATAAATTACATTTTAACATATATTCACATAGAAAAGAGCTATTTTAAACTGTAAAAATATTTAAAACAAATTTTTTTTTACTCTGTGACTGTTAAAATGCAGCTTTGGCGAGCAAAAGAGACTTGTGCTTCCCGACTGGTTTCTTAGTCACACTCATGTTGTATGAAATGACTCAATTGTATGAATACATGCAGAAAAACCAGTCTTGGTTAGCTGGGATACCTGGAGTAACTGATCGAACCACCACTGGTTTCTCGCTGCCCGCCACGAAGCCGAAGCCGAGCACCGGGTCGCGTCTCATTTCCACCTTTCGCGGTGCAGGAGGGACAAACTTATCCACATCAACACGCACTTCCTCCAAAGAACTTGACTGTGAGAGGTGACTGAAAGACAGAGGAGGATAAAGATCAAATTAGTTCAATGTTAACATGAACTCAAAACTGACTGCTTAAACCCTGTATAGCCTGACATATGAAATAGCGGTCAGAAATATATAATTTTTGAAATGGAATGGTTTACTTTCTCTTCTCTCTCTATAATACATATATATAAGTTTGTGTATGTATTTTTGTTGAGTATCATTATTTGATCCACACTACAGATGTGGTTTTCAACACTATAGATCATGACATACTCATAGATGGATTACAAAACTATACGGGCATTCAGGGACAGGCTTTAAGATGATTTAGATCCTACCTGCACGACCGTTACCAGTTTATTTATTTAAATGGGGAATCATCTCAATTAACGGCATTAAAGTATGGCGTGCCACAAGGATCGGTCTTAGGCCCTCTGTTATTTTCAATAAACATGTTGCCCACTGGTCATTTTATCAAAATATGGAATTAGTTTCCATTGTTATGCTGACGATACTCAGCTATATTTCAACAAGACCATCAGGCTTTTATGGCTCATCTAGTCTGACATAGTGAGAATATGGAGGAAAAAATTTATTCAGACTCAAACTGAACAAAAAAATGCAATTTGGTGCAAATGCTGATATTTATATGGAAAAAAAATATTAAATTATTTTGTATTTAATGTAAATCAAAGAGATCCTTATGAAAGTATAGCAGCTACTTACATAAAATGATATAAATCAGTCATTACTATATCTCCTATGTTCAAAACATAATGCAATGCAGTCCGCTAATGATTGAGATTGATGATCAGATTTGCGACTCACTGATTTTTCTAAAAATTATTCATGGAGAATCAAGTAAAGCCGAGCTGCTTCAGTCCAGTAGATAATTGATGTTGATAATTTAGAGGCCTTAGACATTTTTTAGAATTTGAATTTACTTATGATACAGCATGTAAGATACAGTATTCAGAAAGCTTGCAATTTCCATCTTTACGCACTTGTTTTCCTCAGGTGTCCAGATTACACAACTCTGATTGACCTCTTTCATAACAGCAACATGTGAGACGTGAGGTATGACATTCTCCATTAAGACACAACACAGTGGAACTGAACCCAATAAAAGCCGTGGAAATGATCGGCCTCCACGGAAACATCTATGCTGCGGCTGTCACAGTTCTCAAAGCTCCTGGGAACCGTAATTTAGTGGGAGGTGAACAATGACTTTCTAGTACAAAAGGTTGATGGGAGAAAGTGCTACAAGTGAAGAAACTGCTGCAAATGTTGATGACCCAGTTACACACTGTAATCATTCAAAACTGTCGGCTGGTACAGTTGAGTCACCGCACACTTCAACATGCCATGTCATCTGAGAAGAGAAGAACTGGATGCAAAGGCACAGACTTTACTCGAAACCATAACCATGTATGAATGCATATTAGTCATTTTAACTGAACTTAGGACTGGTGGTGGTGCTTTTTTGGTCAATCAGTGTTTCTGTAAAAAAAATTGAGAAAACACTGATAAGATAATAATGATACGAATTCTACTAATAAGAACAATACAAAAAAGAACTAAGGATTAATTCATGAATATTAATCAGTTTGTGTGCGTTCACTCGAACTGATTCACTGAAATCAAAACAGGGGCAATAGGCGAGCGCCAGCCAATGAGATTGTCATTTGTGCATTAGTTTTTTGCCTATAAAAAGGGCATTTCCCCCTAACCTTATTAAATGCATGTGTCATCTTTCATATCAAATTCTTACATTGTATTAATAATTACACTTAATATAATAAGACTCTATAGGGCTGTTACCAATCAAATGAAATCAGTATTGACAAAACCACATTTTCCACTGCTGGAGAAACCGAAGCAGCTGAAGTGGCATTTAGATACATTTACACAGACAATTTAATGAAGCTGAAATGTAGCATGAATGCATTAACACTGCAAAATTACAACAGCATAAATAATGCTGTGAGCTTGGTGTTTTACATCAGGTTTTTTTATTTACAAATATGAACAGTT